TATTGAGATATAATTCACATCCCATAAAATCCATTGAAAGTGTACAGTTCAACAACTTCAGTATACTCACAGAGTGCGCAAATATCACCACCATCTAAGTTTAGAACATTTTCATCTTCCCCAGAAGAAACTTTGACCATTAAGTGGTCACTCTCCATTTGTCCTGCCCCAGCCGTAGGCAACCACTTATCCACTTGCTGTCTCTGTGGACTTGCCTCCTGTGGACACTCACATGGACAGAGCCACATGCTCTGCTCTTTCATGCCCGGTGCATCTCACTGAGCACGTGGTCCAGGTTGGTCCACATCGTAGCACGTGTCAGCATGGCATTCCTTTTCATGGCTGCCTAACCTTCCACTGTAGGGAGGCACCACAATGAGCGTTTCCACTCTTCAGTCAATGGACACCTCAGAAGGGCCTTTCCTGACCCGCCAGCTCCCGCGGCCCCCTCCGCCCCAATCACTCTCTCATCTCTCCCAGTTTTATCCTCTGGCCTCTGACTGTTAGACATCTTCATCTGTTTGTTTTGCTTCTCTCCTGCCTGGGCGGTCCGCCTACTCACTGCTGTGTGCCCAGGGCCTAGCACAGGCCTGGCACACCGGAGGTGCTCAGCCTCTCCACTGTCGGCGGGGCTGCTTGTGCTCACGCAGTCTCTCTGCCTGGCTCTGAGCTCTTTGAGGACAAGTGCCAACCTCGCCGAGTGAGCGCCCTCCTCACCAACGACCTGGAGGGAAACGAATCAGCCAGGCTCCCCTCTATCGGGTGGGCAGCGCCTCCAGGGTGCATGTTAGCTGGCTGCACGTGAGGAGGTCTACTGAGCCCCTGCCATGGTGCCAGGCACAGTACGGGTCTTCAACTCCCACGCAAAGACCGATGGGAATGGGCAAGAGAGCAGCCAGGGGCAGGGTGGGGAGGGGAGGGCAGGCCTGCAGGGCTGAGGTGGTGGGGAGTCCCAGGAGTGAAGGGGTAAAGCAGCTTCCCGAAGAACCCATGTGTGCTTTGGGTAGTGCCCAGAGCCAGGGCCGGAGCTGCTTGGTTCCACCCAGCCCAGGACCTCCTGCCCTACACTGTACTTGGCTCTGGGCCTGCCCAGAGAGGGGCAGGGACAGCCAGGGCCTGTCCAGAAGGGGAAGGAGGTGAGATGGGGACTGGAGACCCATCCTCAGCCTCAGGAGTCCTGACCATTGCAGGCTGCGCCAGGACACAGCGGCAGACGGGGTGGGGTCGGTGCACAGAACCAGCCCCCCAGTGTGTGCGCTTGTGTAGGGAGATATCACAGGAAGAGAGGGCCAGTTCCAAGCAGGAAAGACTTCCCGAGGTCAGAGCTGCCCAGGCTGTGAGGCGGTGAGCTCCCTGTCCCAGGAGGTGTGCGCACGGGGCCCCCCACCGAGGGGCATCAGATGGCTAATTGTCTGGGAAGCTCCCTGGAAGCTCCCGGAGCCTGGCTGCCAGCTGCTCCCCAGCCCTCCTCCCCAGATGCACCACGGGTGGGAGGGGGAGGGGCCAGGGTCTGCTCAGCAGGTTCCCCCAACTCCATCCCACACCCCAAGTAGGCTGCCCCTGCCCACCAGGCAGCTCAAATGCCCCACTGGCCCTCAAGGCACAAAACTGTGTTTCGTTTCCAAAATAACACCAGATGCAAAAGTGATTTTCCTGCCTGACCCCAGAGGCTGAGGACTATGAGTACCACAGACTAAGGCCTGTGACAGACAGGGACCCAGAGGTGCATGCTCAGAGAGAGGGCTGCTCCACAGCTCCTCCCCCACCCGCCCGGGCAGGCCCACAGGCCCTAAGGGTCAATCTCAGAACAGAAGTCACTGGGGCTGCAGATGGGCTGAGCTGGGTTTCAGACTCAGGCTGCTCTTATTTGCTCTGCCCGCCACGGGGACTCAGAGGGAAGAAGGGGACAGGGCCACAGGGACGCCCTCCACTGGGCACCGAGCCAACAGAACCCATTCAGGATCTGCCCAGGAAGCCCGCCCGCTGGCACTGCTCTCCTCACCACACAGGCGAGGGAACAGGCCCAGAGAGGTTTAGCAACATGCCCGAGACTGTACGTTGAACAACCTACCGTTGCTGCCTTTGGACCCCGCTGTGCCAGCTCCTAAGTTGTTCTGTCCAGCAGATGGGCCAGAGCTGGAGGGTCCCCTCTCAGAGACCTCAGGCCAAAGTCCCAGAGACCCTGCCCCCAGCTTCCTGGTTGCAGCCACGGAACCCCCAGGCAGAGGGCCAGGGCCGGCCGGCAGCCTGCTCCCCACACGCACCTCGCGCTTTTCCAGATGTGCACGGACCCGGCCAGGGGCGACAGGCTCGCTCGGAGGGGAATCTGAAGACGCAAGTGGAAAACTATGCGCTCTGATCGCAACCCTCCAATTTGTCCCTGTGGCGGCCGCCAGCCCCGCCTCGGGCCGCAGACCTGCTGACTCAGGTCTCCCCTGGCAGCTGAGGGGGCAGGGATCCCACTGAGGGCCTGCTCTGGATGTGTGTCTGTCTGTCTGTCCTGGGGAGTGGCCTTAGCTCTCTTGGGGTCCCCAACAAAATGGGTTAGGGGTCTGGAGAGCACAGCACGTCTCCTGGAGCCCCCACAGCCCATCCTCCCAGCTAACCACAGAGGGGCCCTGTACTTACGGGTGCTAAGTGGGGGTTTGGGGCAAACCCAGTGCCAATTACGGTACCCGTCCCCAGACCGACTGCTCCTCCGCCACTGACGGCGAGGCGGCCATCCCGCTCACACCGGCCCTCGAAGCGGGACTGCCTGTGGCCACCGTCTGGCTACCAGTGGCCACAAACACTCAGCAAGCACTCCCTACGAGCCACGCCACGCAAGGCTATACCACACGACCCTGTCACAGCTCTGCAATCATCCCCACTTGGTAGATGAGGAAACTGAGGCACACTGAGGCCAGTCTGTGGGCTCTGCTAGGCTGGCTCCTCCTCCTCAGAGGGGTTGAGCCCCTGGCACAGCACAGCCGGGCCTCCCAGTGCGGAGCCCGCTGCATCCTGTAAACAAGCCCCGAGGTTTCCAGAGCGCCAATCCCCGGAAACCGAGGGAGAGGATGAGATGCAGGAAAATCCAGCTGCGGTTGGAGAGAAAGGCACACAGGGCGCTTGCCCAAGCCCGGGACTCGCCCCCCGCCTGGTCCGCCCTCCAAGGTGCCAGCTCGAGGAGGTCTATCCCAGGGTCTAAGGAGGGACAGGAGGCCACCCACTCACTCCAGCGGCGAGCTTTCCTCTCTCCATTCCTACAGCCAGCCGCACGCCCATCCAAGAGAACGCCTCTGCCCTCGTTGGCCGCTCTGTTCTCCTAAAGCCTGCTCGGGACTGAGGACTGTCCCGAAACGCCTCCCACTCACAACCACCCACCCGTCCAGGCTGAGGCCCAGGGTCCCAGACACTCCCACCCAGCAGCAGGGACAACGGTGGCCATTGTAATGACGGCTTTTTAGCACAGTGAGAGTGAGCTGGGCGGTGGGGTTCCTCTTTCTCTTTGGCTGCCAGGAAGCTCGGCAATGTTCACCTTAACAGAAGGACCTCAGGACCCTGCATATCTCCACTCTGTTCTATTTTTTTCCCAAGGTCATGACATCCTGCTCTAAATTGTGCTTTAAATTCCTGGTCCTGATTTTTTACTATTTAATTTGTTATAGGTATTTCCCATAAGCTATGACAAATATTTGGGGAAGGAAGGAAGAAATGAAGGAAGGTAGTTTTCTGTAGTGTATACACCAGGCACTGAAGGTGGGAAGAAAGAAAGAAAGAGACTATCTTTTTTTTTTTTTTCTTGAGGAAGATTAGCCCTGAGCTAACTACTGCCAGTCCTCCTCTTTTTGCTGAGGAAGCCTGGCCCTGAGCTAACATCCGTGCCCATCTTCCTCTACTTTATATGTGGGACACCTACCACAGCATGGCGTGCCAAGCAGTGCCATGTCCACACCCGGGATCTGAACCGGTGAACCCCGCTGAGAAGCAGAGCGTGTGAACTTAACCGCTGCACCACCCGGCTGGCTCCAAGAGACAATCTTCTAATCCCATACCCTTCGTAAAACTCCCCTTTAAGTAAAAAATATGCCCTTAGGTGGTATTCAAAAAGAGGCTTCCAAACAGGCAGGGCCTCTGCGCCCCTCCCAGTACAAATCCTGGCCCCGCCCACTCTCCCACGCCCCACACAGACGAGGCGACTGAGACAAGCCCGCTTGGGGTCACACAGGATCCGGCTTCCCACTCCCTGGTCTGAACCCTTTCAGCTGCCGCAGAGGCAGGAGCCAACCCGGGAAGAGGCTGTCTCTCCGCGGGGAGCAAGGAGCTTGGGCTCTGCTCCGCCCCCCTCTCACCCCCACGGCACCGGCACACCTCCCCAGCTGTCTGGCTGAGGTCACAGCCGCCGTAATCGCGCCTGGCACTGTGCCAGCCCTGTTCTTTGTTTGTCACCTCCTTTAATCCTCACACTAATCCTATAAGGATCTGCAGGTGGGAAACTGGGCAGAGGTGACGCCACTTCACACCGCTGACAACGCCAAGGCCGGTGTCAACTTGGGCGGCCTGGTGCCTGGGTCTGGGCTGAGCTCTCTGCCACCAGGCAACTGCCATTGACAGTCTAGGAAACAGCCCTACACTGAGCCCTTAAGGGACACATGTGAGTCCCATTTCACTGATGGGTAATGGGCTCAGAGGTGGTAGGGGACAGGACGAAGGTCACACAGCTGTGCCCAGTGCCAGTGTGTTACACGACAAACGCCAGGTCCTGTGCACATTGGGCAGTCTGCCAACCATGCTATACCTGCCGCTGGCACCTCCAGGACCCACCCAAGCCCCCACCCACTCCCTGCCCCCTGTTCCGCTTGCCCGCCTCCCTTCCCAGTGCAGACTCTGGGTTTCTCCGGAGAGCCAGGCATGGCTTTCCTGCCCTCCACCCCTGCTCCCCCAGCTGCCCTGGCCCTCCCGGAGCTGCGCTGCTGGCCCTGACTCGCCAGGTGCTTCATCCACACACGGCCCCCCCATACCTGAGGGTCCTCACGGAGATGCAGTACTTCCACATGAGGCTCCACACGGCGCTGCCACCTCCCTTCATGCCTGGCTAGGAGGAGGAGAGAGCTGCCCGCGGCCCACGGCCACAGCCCTCCGACACTGGTCTCCTCCTGGCCAGGGGCTGGCTCTCTTTGCTGGCTCTCAGGTCACTTCCTTCTTCATGGTGGGAAGAAGAAAGAAAAGTCCCAAAAGCCAGAGGAGAGGGGGAGGCACCGAGTCCCACAGGCCACTGCTGGTCCCAGCCACCGGCCTTGCTGTCCCTGGGCCAGCCTCCGGGCGCCGGCTCCGTTTGGCTGCTCCAGACCCTCTGGCCAGGCGGCCCTCGCAGAGCAGACCCCGTGGCTTCTGCACAACCTTGCGCCTCCTGCCTCCTGCCAGGAGACGGCGGTGGCTGGGGGCCAGGGGAGCAGTGAGTCACTCGGGCGGGCCGGCCGGGTGAGGGGCGTCCGCCGCCCGGTGAGGGAAAGCGCGGCTGCCGGAGCCCAGAGCCGGTCCTGTGTCCAGGGGCTGGCCTGGGACTGGGACCGAGAGGCTGAGCCAGGAGGGAGGGAGGTGGGCGGGGAGGCGAGGGCGGGCCCACATCCTCCCCTAGCTCCCCAGAGGCCTAAACCCAACACCGCCGGAGCCCGCAGCCCCCCCCCCCCCCCCCCCCCCCCAGCCCTGGCCAGCGAGAAAGGGGCTGCTGGCTCCGGGAGGAAGCTCGGCGTGGACAGGGGACAAAGTAAAGGCAAAATCTCGGCTGCTTCCTGGAAGAGCAGCGGGCCCTCGAGGGTCTCCACCCGGTAAGAGATGAAGCTTCCAGCCCCGGCCAGGCCCCTCCTTGCTGTGTGACGGCACTGGGCGCGGCCCGCCCCTCTTTGGCCTTTACTTCTCCCTGACGACCTCAGGCTCGCGGAGCCCTGGACACGGGCCTAAGCTCTTGACAGGTCCAGAACCAGCTCATCTAATTCTCCCAACAGCCTATGAAGTGGATTTTATTATCAGCTCCATTTTACACGTGAGGAAACTGAGGCACAGACAGGGGACGTCACTAACCCCAGGTGACAGACCTAGGAAGTGGCAGAGATGGGATTTGAACCATGGCCCCCTGGCTGTAGGACCCAGCACTGGAGGGACAAAAGCCAGCCAGCTCTGCTGTGTGGAGACGGGAGGCGGAGGCGGGCTAAGGGCTGGGGGCCCCTCCCAGCAGCCTCGGGTCTGAGCCTGACCTGGGTCTGGGGCATTTCCAGACTGGGCCCCAGCTGGAGCCCCCGCCCTCGCCCCCCACCAGCTGCTCCCAGGCCCAGCCCAGGGCAGGCAGCTGGGGCTTCCCAGGCGGAGCCCCCAGGGACAGTGAGTCACGGCTCAAGGTCAGTGCTCACAGACCCACTTCTCCCCACCACAGCCCCCAGGAAGTCCCCCGGAAAGCAGGTGGGCCCGGATCCCAGACCCTGCATGGCCCTGGGCATCATGCACAGCTGCCACTACCGTCATGTCCAGGGGGTGCCATGGCCCCCATTTCACCCCTGAGGAAACTGAGGCTCAGAGAGAGGCATCACCTACACAGACCATCAGGGAGGGTAGAGCTGAGCCTGAGCCCAGGGCTCTAGGTCGAAGCCTTGCTCTGACCCTGGGCCCCTGCCCTGGCCTGTGCAGGATGGGAATTGTGTCTCAGATTCCAGCCTGATTCCCACAGCAAGGACCAGCAGCTGCCTGCTTGTCTGTCCCTCAAGCTGGGAAGAACTTTTTATCTGAAAGCAAGACGGAATTCTACAAAGGCTGTGGTTTCCCTGGGGGCTTTGGGAACCCAAGTTCTCTCTCCTCCTCATCAGAAGCTACCATGATTGGCTTCTACCTGCCATGGGTGCTCCTTGCCCAGCCTCAGCTTGAGTACCCCCAGTGACAGGAAGCTCACTACCTACAAAGGCTGCCCATTCCATCACGGGTCTCCACTGACCTAAGGAAACTCTGCCCTGGACAGGAGCCTCCCTGTCACTGTTCATATTGGCCTCACTTCCTTGTGCCACACAGAGTAAGACCTCCATTCAAGAGTTCATCTGGTCTGTCCTACTAGCAGAAGTTTTCTCAACATCTTTTGTGGGTAGAGGCAGCCTGTTTACACGGCTCCACCCGCTCACCCCTCTACTGACACATCCAGCCACCCACCCTCCTCTCCAACTAACCACCCATGGACTCATTCATCCACTCACATATCCATCACACCCCCCTTTCTTCTTCATCCCCTCTCCCTCTTCCTCCCTTCTTTCCTTTCCAGCCTTCTTCCCTCTCTCCCTTCCCCTCTTTCTTCCATCCATCCATCCATCTATCCATCCATCTATCCTTTGACCATCCATCCATCCCCTCTTCCTTGCATTCATTCATTCATCCATGCATCCATGCATCCATCCATCCCCTCTTCCTTGCATCCATCCATCCATCCATTTGACCATCCACCCATCCATGCATCCCCTCTGGCCTGGGCTGGCCGCTTGCCCACCCAGAGTCAAGAGCTATAACAGGTGGTTGCAGTGACCTCTTTCTCTTCCTGAGGCATCTTCCTGAACTCTCCTCCCAGCCTCTCTGTCAGCCCTTTGCCTCTCACTTGATCCCCCAGGTTTCCACTCATGGTCTGTCACATCCCTGGCTTCTCTCTTTCTGGTTACCATGCCCTCATGGAGCCTGTCAGGCTCTGATTTCCCATGTCTCCTGGGTCCTACAGCCCAAGGCTCTGGCCAGACCCCCCGGGGCCGGGGCTCGGCACCAGGACACTCAGCACCCAGCTGGGAGGAGTATTGGTCACGTGCATCTTCCATGCCCATCCTGCACCAAACTGCAGTCATGGCTGACACCTTTTTGCCCCGGAAGTGATATCAGAGAAAGGTGTCATTTTCAGAACCAGAGGCCCAAGACCCTTGTGGGGACCCTTCCAAGTCCCTCTCCTGGAAGACACCCCTGTCACCAAAACCTCTGGAGGGCCCGGGCCTCCCTTCTTTGCTCCTCCTCTTGGCTGCATCCACCTACGTCCCTCTCTTTCCAACAGCATCACATTAGGGCTTCTCTCCTCCCACTTTACAGATGGGGAAACTGAGGCACTGGGGTGGGTGTGGCCTCCCCAGCTCCCACAGGGCAGGGCTTACTTCTCAGACAGGCTTGGGGGTGAGTCTGAGGGCACAGAAGGAGCTCAGCTGCCCCACCCAGCAGGGGCCAACCCATGAGCCATCTCCCACGCTCTCCCTCCTGGGGCGGCCCTTGCAGATCTGCTTTGAGAAGGCCCTGGCTGCCCCGACTCCCTAGCTATCACTCGGTCCAGCCTGGAATCTGAGCTGCATGGTCCCTGGTTGCGGAGGGCAGCAGAGGTTGTCACACAGCGGAGTGCCCGGCAGTGGCTGGGGGGCCCTGGGGCTCCCCCAACAATTTTCACAGCTGTTCTCATCATGTCCCCTCTCGGCCTCTCAACAGCCCTGAGAAGAAGACGTCATTATCCCCACTTAGGGAAAGAAAACTGAGGCTCCAAGGGCTTCGAGGTTTCCTGAAAGCCGACTCATGACACTCCTATCGTCACCAGGGATGGTGGCTTGTCCTTGAGAGCAGGACAGACTCCTCATTCATCTCTGACTCCTTTGTACCTACAGGAGTCATCTCATCTCTCTGAGCCTCAGTTTACCCCTGCCCTCCCAGCTGTGGTGAGGCATAAGTGAGACCAGCTCCACAGAACCGTGTGACCCTGGTGCAAGAGTTAACCCCTCAGGGGCATCTTCTGTAGGGCATTTCAAAAACCCCTGGCACCGCTGGGCACGCATCAGTGCTCAGTGACAGCCACCTCTCCTCCTGCCCCTGTCGGCCACAGGGCAGCAGAGAGGAGCTGGCCAACTGGGCAGGTCCGCATGGAAGCATTCACACCCTTAGTTGTTCCCTCTCCCCAGCCACACAGCCAAAGCCGGGTTCTTCGGAGAGCTGGCCAGCCCTCCACCCTCAGCCCGGTGACTCACACGGCCCACTGGGGATGAGGTCACTGCCGCCCAGGCAAAGAAAAGGATACATTTGTTCCCTGGGCGATGCCGATGCCATGGTGAACTTGGCCTGAGAGGGCAGGACACAGCCCCGGGCTCGTGGTCACTTGAGGGAGGCAGCAGACCCAGGAGGGAGGGCAATGGGTGAGGACCCTGTTCAGGGTGATGGGGCCTGGGGGGTGCGCCCCTCCTCTGAGTCTCAGGCCAACCTCCAGGCCGGGCTGGGCTTATCCTCTCTACTTGCCTGGTGAGGAGTGTCTGCAGGCTTGGGGCTCTGAGACCCCTCAACTTCTGCCTCTGACTCAGGGGCAAGCTACCGCTCAAGCTACTGTCTCACCCACGGATGGGCCCCCGAACTCCACTCCCGGCAGTGAGCTGCAGATGACGGTCGGGTTTACGAGGCCAGATTTCGGCTCCCTCCCTGCTCGCTGGATCTCCTGTGGCCTCTCCTGAGCTCTCCCTGTCCTTGGTCCCTCTACTGCTGTCGACCATAAGGGTTGTTCTAATAGACAACACCCTCCCTTTGGCTGATGGTCACCCACAGGAGAAAGGCCAAACCTAAGCCGGGCGGACAAGCCCTTTGCCTCGTGCCGTCTGCACAGAGCTTACTGACACCACAGGCGGCCCCTATTCCAGCCATACCCCCCAGCCCTCCTGGGCCTCCAGGGTTACCCACCCCGGACCGGGAATTCCACACCTGAGCTGGTTCCTCTTCACGTGCCCTGTAAATGGCTCTCCCCCTGCTCTGGCCCAGGGACAGCATCTTCAGGCCCACACCCTCTGTTTGCTGTTGGGTGTGGCCAGTGGGAGGCCTGGCAGGAGAGCAGGAGTTGGAGGAGAGAGGGGCAGTCCGGGTAGTCACTGCCCTTCCGTAGCCACAGTGCCTGGCAGGTGGCCCTCTGCATGCAGCTCTCTCTCGCTCCCTCCCCCATCAGTTCTAGGGCTGTAAGGCCTCCCACCATTGCTGGCCTAGGTGCTACACCCGCTCCTGCCAGCTCCCTCACCGCCGTCCCCTTCCCACACACAGGCATCGTGGCCAGCAGTGCATGTGAACTCTTAGTGAGCTTGCTAGTTCCTGCCAGAACCCAACCCACTATCCTTCAAGGAGCAAGTCAAAGGCCACTACCTCTAGGAAGCCAACTATTCGTCTCTTTGTTCCTTCATCCGCTCAATATGTACTGACTGCCTTCTTCTGCGCCAGGTCCCCCGAGGACTTGGTGAAGACCTCCATGGAGCCTGGGAGGGCTGACATTCTGGGAGGAATAACCAGCACCAAGTACACAAATGAACAACCAGGACTTCTGGTGGCAAACTGTGCCGTGAAGAAATGGAATGAACCAGGGGATTTCTTTGGGTGGTAGCTTCCCCTGGCTCCCTCTCCCCCCCAACATCCTCTCCACTTGGGAGCCTGGACCACAGCCGCTCTCCCCTGGCAGGTGCATTACCTGTGTCTGTGGCCCCCTCCGTCAGTGCCCTGAGAGCCCGTGGAAGGTGGGGGAGAGCATCCACAT